GCCATCGAAGCCGACAGCAACGGGCCAGTAGCACATCCTGGGCAGAGCTTTTCGCGACAAAAGGGAATCGCCATCGAGCCTTCATCTCGGTGACGCTCGGCATATTCGCTCAGTGGAACGGCGTCGGCGTCGTATCATATTACCTTGCCCTTGTACTTCAGAGTGTTGGCATTACATCTGTGACGCATCAGACACTTATTAGTGGGTGCCTGCAGATCTGGAACCTCTTTTTCGCCGTGCTAGCTGCTGTCAACGTAGACAGGGTTGGCCGTCGCCCGCTCTTCCTGCTAAGTTCAGGTGGCATGCTGATCAGCTACATCATTATCTCGGGCTTGTCCGGCAGCTTTGCGCAGACGGGGTCGAGCTCCGTCGGCCTGGCTGTCGTGCCATTCCTCTACATCTACTACGGATTCTACGATCTGGCCTTGTAAGTCATACTCCTGTGCTGTAGTAGCTGTACCCTGTTGTCTGACCAGTGATGAAGCACACCCCTCGTGGTCTCGTATCCCGCAGAGATCTGGCCGTACCAACTTCGTGCCCGCGGCATTGCCCTGACGCAATTGTCGACCTACTTTGCCATCTTTTTCAACATTTTTGTCAACCCAATTGCGCTGGATGCTATTGGGTGGAAATATTATATCGTTTTTGCTGTCATTCTGGTTATTGTCACAGTCACCGTCTACTTCTGTTACCCGGAGACAAAGGGCCACTCTCTGGAGGAGATGTCCGTTATCTTTGACGGCGTAGAGGCTGCCATCATATCGGAGAATGCCGTCATGGCTATCAAGGGAGCCGATGTTGATCACAAGGAAATGGCCTGAGCTTTCAGAGCAATAGTGTGTACCAAAAAAACGACAGACAATTCACGCATTGTTGCGCTCAGTCTGGTTGATGTGCATCATCTACAAAAACTATGGAACGGTGTCACATCAAGCTGTCTGGGTCCTTAAAGTTCCTACAGATCTACCAGGTGCTCGACCTTGTCACACACTGGCTCTTGGTGGCCTCGTCAACTGGGGCGTGGCGATCAGGGTGGCCATACCATTGGTGGCGTGAACAAGAATACATCTCTACCGGACGCCTAAAATATCGGAAATCTGGAAACCCTGGAATCGGAAGCATTGTCGTCGGAGGTGACCAACACAAGGTCTGTGGATGACGGTCTGAAGTGCAACCTCTGTCATGTGCTGAAGGGCGGATTTCATGCGGTTACAATTGAATCGCGAGCTCGCAAAACTTGTTTGCATTCAGCCTGCCATCTGTGATCTACTCCAAGACACGTCTCGTGTAAGCGGGTCTGACCGGCAACAGCACGTCCTTTTACAGTGGATGAATGATGAAGATCAGGCAAGCTGTTCATCGATTCAACAAACACTCCAGTCCCAGCCTAAGCATGTCTTGAGAAAGGCGATAATTTTCGTTGCTCGTCTGCTCGCTAGAGAATCACCAGGTGCTGCTGATGCTGGACTAACTCCACGTATCAGCAGGCTTCAGCGCCATGCCGAAGCAGGATAAAAGCCGGTGGATTGGAAGACATGGTTGTGCGCACGACAGACCCATGGCCCCAAGAAGCACCACGAGCGTTGGCACGGAGACGTGGCAGCCGACGGAACGCATGAACTGAAAAGTCGTGACGGGACTTGATTGGCGTTATGAGGTTGGGCGAGCGCAGGCGTGTGGTTGACTCGACTATAGTGGGTGATGCGCCGGCAGAAAGGCAGGCCAAGCCTAGAGTTTGGTACCGGTCCACCCCATCGGATGGGTCAGGATGCATGACACACGTAGCCAAGCCCTCTTCTAGATGCAAATCGGTTCATCATTGAAGAGAGTCATCGAGAGACGTAGATGGAAGTCATGCCCGGCCGGAACCAGAGCAAGGGGCCGAGATCAGAGGATCGGTGACGTGACTTGACAGGTAGTTTGATGAGCACTGAGAGCGGCGGGGGCGGGAGTAAGCGATATGGGCGGGTTTGAGGGGGTCATCGTGGCTCCCAGGTTCATGCGCAAGGAGGACACTCTTTTGGAGGAGAGAGCAAGGGCTCTGAATCATTCGCAACGTGCAAGAGAAAGGGAGGTCGGTCGACCAACAACCCAGCTGTCTGGGCGGCCTTTGAACCGGCCATGTGGTCGGATAGAAGGCCGTGGACTGTCGATCTCATTGCACGAGATTGGTTCAGGTATAGACCAGAGAAGGGGGATAAGGAATGTTTCACGGAGTCATGACGGGCAGGCATTCGTCCACATCGTGTCGCACACAAACAGCTTGCTATCCGCCACTTCTGCTCAGGACGCCATGTCGGCCACCCTTTTTCATATCACAGCGCCCGACCACAACCACCAGCAAACAATGGCGGCCTCAAAGAGCAGCAAAAGTCCCCCTCGCGTCTGCTATACTCGCGACGCGATTGGCGAAGGATGAGCTCTAGGGCCGCGTTTCATAAATGGCCCTTGAGGGCACTGAGGGCTCCTTGGAACCCAGCGCTCCGTCGCACCACGAGCGAACTTTCAGGGATTCCGAGACGGCCAAGCGTCCAATCGCACCCCCGTAGATGCTCACCAGGTCCCCATAATAGCAGCGTCAGCCGTCTGTTCTCACCACATGCCTCACAAGTCGACCGGATTTGTACCTCATCGCCGGCGTCGGGGGCCCAGATCCGAGCCCTTGTGCTGCTTGGGACTCGGGTGTACGGCCGAGTATGCCCACTCGCGGTCAATCGGACGACGATAAGGCCGATTTCTCAAGAACCACACTATTCGAGAAGGGGTCGTGCTCTGTGCCCGTGCCGACGGAGAGAGGAGGCCCAACCAAGATGGCTCGCGTTTCAGACTCTTTGAAGCACCTCCTCAAGAGTCCGGGGGCTCAGGCAAAGGGGAGAGGGCAAGCTGCTGCACATCAAACTAGACAGTCCGCATCATCGACGTCTTCATCCCAGTCACCCTATAGTCAGTGAACTTATTGTTCTGACGTTGATCCTCTTGGTCCCTCCAGCCCCCTCCTCTCCGCTGATTACCATCGCCCCTGGGTTCATCCTCACGATCTTGACATTACTCAAGATCACCACTACCAGGTAACATCGTGTCCGCATCACGCGTTTGCTTCCAAGTCTGATTACGTCGCCACTGTTCGGTCTGGCTTTGACCGGCTGGCGGCGCTCTCCAACGCCACTTTCGACCAGACAATGAAGACCGAGACGGCCTCTCTCCTGCTCCTCGCCGCCCTCAGCGTGGCCGAGGAGCTGACGCCAAATGATGTTCCGCTCGCCTGTGCCAACATGTGCGGTCCAATCGTTGAGCTGAGCTTCAAGTGCGATGTCGATGGCACCGATGACCTGCGAAAGTTGAAGAGGCGGAAGATATCCAGCCTGCAGCGGCAGCAGCAACAACAACAATCAGCACCGAGGGCCAAGCGTCAGGCCGATCCAGAACCGCAAGCACCAGCACCAGTTCCCAGTTCAACAAACAATCAACAAGCAGCCGATGTCATCTTCATCCCCGGTTCCATCGGCAAGTTCAAGACAATACCGACGCCCTTACCACCAGCCGACACAGGCGTCCCCTCGATGGCCGTCACGCCCGCCGCTCCGGCACCAACACCACCAGTCCTCGATCTGCGACCAACAACGACGCCGACGAACCTCAATCCCAACCTACCCATCCTTGCGACGCCAATTCTTCCCTCGGGGCCAGCCTCGACGCCCCTCGCAACGACTTCGTCCACGCAAGTGCCGCTGCCCGTTGGCAATGACGCAGACGCCGGCGACGGCGCGGACGCCGGCCCCGCCCCCAGCAACAGCCTCAATGGAGACGTCGGCGACATGGTCGACGACGCGGGCAACCTATGGCCCGGGCAGAAGGGGCGCCAAGCGGCAAGCGACCTCGAGACGGCGTGCATTTGCAGCAACACGAGCTTCAACGTGCGGCGTGTTGCCGGCTTGTGCGGGGACTGTCTGCAGCAGGTCTCTGGCGATCAGGGGCGTAAGTGACACCACCTTCCCGCGACTGCGACTCAAGCATCTTGAGAGAAACAGAAGACACGATGCTGACTACTGGCAGCGATGAGGGCGATTCTGTCATCGTGCAATTTCACGACGGAGCGGTATGAGCCGGAGAAGGAATCGCTCGTCGCCAACGTCAGGGTCGAGGCGACGAAACCGAGCTTCACGCAGACTGCGGCGGCGGCCTATTCGTGGCGCGTCTCGGGTCCGATGTGGGCCGTCGTCGTTGGAGCGGGCATGGTGCTCGGGATGGCTTGGTGATGATTGCGAGCATGCGTGTCTGTCTGTGGCGGGTTATGAAATCGGCGTTACACCACTACTCGATACCATTGTTTCTTATTGTATGTATATTCTTTCTTCCAACATCGTTTCATGACGACAGAGAGGGCTTCGCCTCGTGTTATTGGTTCTCGCGCAGCAATCGACGGGCCTCGATAGCTGCTTCGCGGGCCTGATATTATATAATATTAGCGGCCCTGATAAGACGGCCTGTTCCCCAGCAAATAAACCTAGAAACTAAAAATCCATGGCCAATTCACTGCTTGATTTACAAATCTTGGATCTTGTGACAGGACCTGCGTGTGTGCGCGCGTTGGTCGACTTTGCGTCCCAAGGACTCGAGGATTTCTGGCACTCGTCGGCCCGCCTGTTTGACTCGTTGACGAAAGGTCATCATCTCCGATCTTGGGCATGGGCGACTTCGTCTTGTATGCCTTAGTAACAACATTCAATGAACTCCCAAGGGTCAGCCAACTGCATTCGGGCTGTGTGCTGGCCTATCCCCGACGCCGGCAGTGCCCGATTGTCCTTCATGCGCAGACTGTGGTCCGACAAAATCCGCACGATCGACATGGTTTCGGCATCCGATGAATCCCTAGCCGACTCGGTGACCGTGGCTCTAGCAGCATGCTACTCTCAGCAAAGTTCATTGTCGTCCAATCAGACCCCACACGAGGGAATGTCATTCGAAGAGCATTGACAGAACAATGAGCACAGTAGAAATGACGCTCGAGCCGGGTGCCGAGCAGAATAGCCGCAATCATGTTTCACGAGAATGGTCGTTGGGGTTCGGTGCGCCCAGCCAGGGACGTGAAGCTGAGAGTGTGCAGTATTCGCGGCCTCTGATTGGTTCCTCAACACAGCCACGCGATGCGAGTCGTGATCAATGGGCGAGTCGTTGGGCGTAACCAGAAGGGGAAACATTGAGAACGTGGTGCTGGTCTGATCTGAGGAAGGATAATCGAGAAGTCTTTGCCTGCTTCCAGAATCTGTGATGAGATGAGGGTACCATTTCGGAATATCGTCCCACGAGGTCTCACGACCTCCCAGTCCTCTCTCACTTCAATAATATGCTGCTGCCAGCTATCAAGACCAGTGCCTTCTCTTGTGGGCCACAAAGTCAATGATTCCAGTATGGTCCTCGTGATAGTACTGCTCTGTAGTCCTTCGGCGCAGTCGTAGCGACACGCATCTTGATGACCCCACAAGTGAAGCCATCACGACATCAAGGTCGATCTAAGGGTCCACCTCTTTAGAACCATCGGCAAGGTACAGACGCGAGCAGTGAGCTCGGCCATCGTTCACTGCGGACCCTGTCACTTTGCCCATGTGTGCCATCGATTCGCGCCACCTGGGTCCCCCAGTGTTCCCAGCTAACCTCAGAACTACCCTTGACTCTGGCTGCCCCTCCCCCTCTCCCCCCCTTTCGTCATGAGCCCCTCCACATGGCACCCCCCCCCCCATCACTGTACGTGACCTACCTTACCTCACTTGCCGACAGCGAGTTTGACCAACCGCCATGCACGTCTCCCACCACGGTGCCATCCTGTGAAGCATCAGTGCCCAGAACGGGAAGACGCGCTGCTGACCGTCACATGGCCTGGCCTGGAAGCATGATATCTTGGGCACAGCCTGCACATACTCTTGACGTTAGCATCAAACACCTCCCTCGCCTTCTCCTCCTCTTAAAATTCACCAAGGATTCTAGCACCAGTACTGGACAAGCTCAAGCTCAAGCTCCAATACCGGTAACACAAGAAGCGCATTCGCTCTAGCCCGCTGAAATACCTTTTCTCAGTATTCAAGCCCGTTTGTTTTGGGAACGGCAAGCTTGATCAACTCCTCCAGCTGACTGCCCTCGTCAAGAAGCACAGCAAGGGAGCGGCGTCAGGCTCTCAGCGCAGCTACAATGTCTACGTCCCCCTTACTCCCCAAGCACGCCGGCCGCGCCGCCGCGCTACCCGCCCCATGACAACGCCGTCTTCCCTACCTCCCTCGTCGGCAAGCGCATCCTCCTCTGCACCGAATCCTTCGGCCCCGTCAACGGTGTTAGCCGTACGACCCTCATGCTCGTCTCTCACCTCCGCGCCCACGGCGCGCGCGTCGCCGTCGTCGCGCCCCTGAACCACACGGAGGGGGCCACTCTGACGGGGCCCAGTGGCGATCAAAGTAAGAACGACGACGATAAGAACAGCCAGGATCCTCTCGTCGAAGTCCGCCTCCACGGCTACCCACTGCCCTTCAACCCCGAACTATCAGTCGTCTATCCCGTACGCGTCACGACGCTCTTCGCAAGAACCTTTGGCGCCGACGAGCCGCCAGACCTCATCTACCTCGCGTCGCCGGCGTCGCTGGGGTTCCAGGTCCTGCTGCAGATGCGGCAGCAGCCGTGGGAGAAGCGCGTGCCCGTCATCTGCAACTTCCAGACGGACCTCGCGGGCTACTGCGCCATCCTGTTCCCGCACCCGCTAAGCACCGTCGCCGTCTTCGCCTTCGCCATGGTGCAGAGCTACCTCTTCCGCCACGAGAGCGTGCGCACCATCTTCTACCCGTCGCGCTTCGTGCGCCGCTACCTCGAGGCCCAGGGCGTCCAGCGGCACAAGATGGACGTCCTCCGCCGTGGCGTCGACACGGCGCTCTTCCGCCCGGACCGCCGCAGCGACGCCCTGCGCCGCGCCATCGCACCCAACGGCGAGATCATCCTGCTCTGCGTGTCGCGCGTCGCCGGCGAGAAGGGCTTTGACTTTCTCGCCCGGGCCGCCGCCGCGCTGCGAGCGCGCGGGCTCAAGTTTGTGCTGTACGTCGTCGGCGGCAACCGCAACCGCGAGGTCGAGCGCGAGGTGCACGGGCTATTCGACGGCCCGCTGCGCGACGAGGGCCGCGTCGTCTTTGCCGGGTTCAAGACGGGCGAGGACCTGGCGACGGCATACGCGTCGGGCGACGTCTTCCTGCACTGCTCCGTGACAGAGACATTTGGGCTCGTCGTGCTCGAGTCGATGGCCAGCGGTGTGCCTGTCGTGGCACGTGACGAGGGGGGGGCCGAGCGACATTATCGACGATGGGCCAGTGCGGTCACCTCGTGCCGGCGGAGGATCTGGACGGGTTTTCGACGTGTCATGGGGCTCGCCGAGGATAGAGGTGCGCGCGAGGAGATGGGCAGACGGGCGAGGGAGATGGCGTGCGAAGCGACGTGGGACAAGATCAACAACCAGGTGGCGTGGCGCATGGCCGACACGATCGAGGAGCGCGAGAAAGAGTTGGCGCAGTTGGCGCCGCCGGTCAGACACGCGCCGCTGTATCGCCAGACTAGTCAGTTGGCACCCATCTACGGGTGGCTGTCGACAAAGGAGGCCGCACGCGAAGTCGTCACGTCTCGCATCGTCGATGCGAGGCTCGCCGGCGGATTCGGCGTTGTCATGACGTTTTGGGTCTTCACCGGGTTGTACCTGGCCCTGACCGAGGTTGGGCTTTGGGTGCGCGGTATGATGCCGCGAAGAGTCGGGAGGGCTTCTTCGGAGACGGACGGACGTTGACCAGTGGCTCGGGACGGGACGGGAGGGGAGGTCGGAACAAGGCGGTTATCTTGCTATCTCAGGAACAAATACTGACTCGGGAGCGGGTACTGGAGTGCGTCTTCTCGAAAGATTAATGATTCATGATATCATGGGGGTCAGTCCATTCGCAAGGTATAGCCATTTGGGGTGGGGGGAGAGAAAATCCCCTGATCAGGATTCTTTTGTCGTTGCGCGTTGGTGTTTGGTGTTCGATTACAGCGGACGATGACTTGTTGTGCTCGCTTTCTTTGTGTTCCATGGCTTCGAGATACCTCCATAGACCATGTCTTACGCCACGGACATGACTCAGGCGCGAGATAAGAACGGCTGCATTGGTACATGAATACGACTACCTCTTGATGGTAGGGATGAAGAGACGTGCGCGGCGTGCATGATTCCAGGGTTGCATCAAGGGAGCCAGCCACCTGGTTTGGTCGTGCTGGTCCAAACAATGGCTCGCCATCCGTGTGCCTGTGTTTGCAGCCGGCAATGACTGAAAGTTAGGCCTGCATTTCCCCCGTCCTAAGGCATGAACAGGGTCCAACGTATCAGAAGTAGTTGCTGCTTAGGGACGAGCACTCTTCGCGTTCGTCACAACGTGGGGATGCCGGGGCATCCCGGGCTGGAGAGCGTGATTCCTCGAGTTGGTGTGATATCCATCTTGGGATCATTCTCGCGCACACATAAGCAGCGCAGGCCACAGGGATGCATTGTTGGACTCAAACGAAATTGGACGGCCTGTACAGGTCTGACTCTTCCATCACTTGACGTTCGGCAGTGGTCTTCTTATCTGGACAACCGGTAGGCCTGGTTGCGTGGTTACGATGTCGATGCATCTTTGGTAGTCTCAGTGCGAGAACATGGTGGTCTTGATATGCACAACGAAGCTGCTTGTCGCCTTCACTGGTCTGAGGGTCGCTGGCAGAGAGCTCGAAGGTTCACTCAGAAGCGGAAACCCCTGCGAACTGACACCAGCATTGGAGGCCATTCAGAAACCGCCAGTAGTTGGAAAGGCTAGATGGTCTTCACAGCATACTAGCTCTGTGGCGTTCTGATGGCCAAGTCGTCGGCCAGCATGATGGCACCGATATGTGTCGGTCGAGTCAGCATCAAAGCGGCTGGGCGAGGTTGGTAAAGTGTGCTTTGATGTTGGCAGGAGAACAACATCGAGGAGAGGGTGAACGAAGGAGCGACTGAGTGTTGGTGGCTGCTGTACAGGTAGGTTCATGGTGGCACAGACCATTCCAGCCACGCCAGCCAGCCAGCCAGTTGAATTCCAGGTACGTACCGATGTGGCCAAGGAACACTGGAAGGAGCAAATGGCGGGAGGGGCGAGTCGCAAGGGGCCAATCAATGGCAAGCGAAAGCGGCAAAGGGCAAACGGCAAGGGCAAACGGCAAGGCGGCGGGTGGCTTGATCCTGCCTCCGACCGAGTCGGCAAAGCCGAAGAAGGAAAACACGAACAAGCATCACCAATTCGTCTCTGCATTGCATCTCCCCATCTCTCGCTTCTAATTATGCCCATCAACTCATCAACCCCCATCGACTTGTCATCTCCCGCTGTCAAGACCCTCGGCCCAAAGGCTCGGAAACACGACATGGCTCCGCTTTCTCCAGACATCGACCCATCCTGCGCTGTAGCTTGACCACCCGCCTGCCTCCCAGAGACGCATCCACCAGAAACAAAAAAGGCCAGACCCGCTCTTTGAGTAATACTGCTGTGTCTGCAGATCCCGCATCTCATCGACAATTCGTGGTTTCTGACTCGCCGGTCCTCGGAGACGTCGACATGCCACCTCTCAGCACCCCTCTGCGCTTGACCCGCCGGCACATGGCTGCCATGGGACCAGACCCTGTTTGTGCTTCCCCGCGAGTCACGACCATGGATAATCATTCCTCAGCCAGTTACGAAGCATCCCCGGATTCGTTACTCCATCCTTATCTCGCGCCTCCGTAGCCTCTCATTGGCCTAGCATTTCAACGACTCTGCCCTCTGAGTGATGCTTCTGCCCTGCGAGTCTTTTGTCCTTGGGGATGACCCCTCGAACCCAAGGAACACGTCCAGAAACGCGACCAAAGTCAATTCCCTTCCAGGCAAAAGCCACGCCCGCCGCCCCCGACGGCTTTCCCCAGCGCCCGGCGGCGCACGCTGCCGATGAAGCTTTGGCCCGCCTTGCTGTCACCACTCTGACTGGCACCCGCGGCCGCTCGCTACCCTCATTGGCGGCGCCGAAGCTGCCATCTATCAAAGGGACCCCCCTCTCTAGCCTTATCTCTCTCTCTCTTTCCCTCTTTCGCGCACCCAAGCGCGCCATGGCAGATATCGATCCCGTCCCCAGTCCCCAAGCTGATACGACCCGCTTGTCTTATTCCGGCTCTGCGGCCAAGAAGCGAGGCCGATGATGGAGGGGGAGGGGGGCCTGGACGATGCAGAGAGCCGAACATACTTCCATGAGGGAGAAGAAGATGACTTAAAAGCCTCCCAGAGGCCCCGTTGAATCTGAAGAGGGTCGTTGTTACTCGTGCTCAGGCTAGTGCTCTCAACGACGACTTCTCACGATCTACGCCTCCCCTCTCGAACCAGGCTTTTTACTCGGCCAGCCGCTCAGCAACTCACCCACCCACGCAGCCGTCGCACATCGCCCACCTCCCACCATGGTTGACTGGAAGGCATGGTGGTCGCCCGCCCCCTCGCTCGACATCCCGGGCCTCGAGACGGTCGACCTCGCCGACAAGGCCATGGAGCGCCGCATCGTCCGCAAGCAGGACCTTCACATCCTGCCCTGGGTCTGCGTCTCCTACCTTCTGAGTATGTCGCCCGTGTCTCCAGAACGGCCCTTTTGCTCCCCCCGCTAACACCTCAGACTACCTTGATCGAGTCAACCTCGGAAACGCTCGCACATTGAACAACGACACGCCCGAAGACAACATTGTCACGCAGCTCAACCTCACCGGCCAGCGCTACAATGTCGCTGTCGCCCTCTTTTTCGTGCCTTACGTCCTCATGGAGTTCCCCTCCAACATCCTCCTCAAGTACTTCTCGCCCTCGCGCTGGATCTCCCGCATCATGGTCTCCTGGGGCATCATCACCATCTGCACCGCTGCCGTCTCCACCTACGGCGGCCTCATCACCGTCCGCATCTTTCTGGGTCTCGCCGAGGCTGGTTTCTTCCCCGGTATCATGATGTACCTCTGCTTCTGGTACAAGCCCGACGAGCGCGCCACGCGCATGGCCATCTTCGCGTCCTCCGTTGCCGTCGCCGGTGCCTTTGGCGGCCTTCTCGCCACGGCCATCTCCTTCCTCAACAACAAGGGCGGTCTCAACGGCTGGCAGTGGCTCTTCATCCTCGAGGGCATCCCCTCCGTCATTGTCGGCATCCTCATCTGGTTCTACCTGCCCGACTACCCCCAGACCGCCGCCTGGCTCACTCCCGAGGAGCGCGCCTTCGCCGTCAAGCGCCTCGGCCCCTACGCCCCATCCATGACCGACAAGCACTGGGACAGCACTGTCGCCAAGGAGACCCTCTCGAACCCCATGTTCTGGCTGTTTGCCTGCCAGTACTTCCTCATGGCCAACTCTCTCAACGCCTTTGGCTACTTTGCGCCCACCATTGTCGCCTCGCTCGGCTTCTCGGGCCACAACGCCCAGCTGCTCACCGTCCCGCCCAACGTCGTCGCCATGATTGTCATCATCAGCAACTGTCTGCACTCTGATCGGACAAGGGAGCGCTCGCGCCACGTCATTGGCGCTCTCGTCTTCGTCGGCACCGGCTACCTATTGCTCGCTGTCGTCCGTCACTGGGGTGTGCGCTACTTTGCCGTCTGCATCATTGCTTGCACCAACGCTGCTGTCCTGCCCTTTGTCGCTGTAAGTTCTCGCCTTATCGTGCTCGCTTGGCCGGTCCATCCACTAACAAAATCCAGCACCGCACGGCCACCGTATCCGGCTCGACTGCCACAGCCCTCGCCACGGGTGGCATGATCGCCATCTCCAACTGTGGCGGTATCTCGGCCCCCTTCCTGTTCCCCAAAGTCGACGGCCCCATGTACTCCATGGGCAACTGGACAATTTTTGCCTTCCTCATTGTCGCCGCCTGCATGACCTGCTTCACCTGGTACATGTACGGTAGCCATGCCGGGTACCGCACAGGTGCGCGTGATGAGAATGGCAACCTCGAGGTTCTTGATGCCACCTCGGGTGACCCTGATGAGATCATGAACAAGGCCATGGGTCTCGAGAAGAAGAAGGACCTGCAACAGGATGTGTAACTTGGACGACGGCATGACTTGTTTTTAGCGTAGCGATCAAAAGTCTTTAGCGGAAGGCCTTCGCGCCTCGGAATGTATGATGATTGACAGTGGCTTGCCTTGATTCTTGAGCTCGCTATTGATATGCTGTGAATATATTGCCTGAAGTGCGTGTTATGACACCACGTCAGTTCACGAATACCTTGCCAAAGGAACAAGGGGTGTACGAGCCATTCAGTGCGCCTCAAATGTTGGTATCGGGGGCCCATGGCTTGGAGACCCGGATGATTGCCCGAAGTCTGCATGCTTGGTCGATCTACGTCCCATTGAGGCGTTAGAGGTTGGCATTGACGTACGTCTTCCCCCCCGCGCATCGCCATGATGCAGGCTATATCATCAGGCTCCACATCAATCAGGACCTGGCAGCGTGTTCTTCACGAATTGTAGCGTCTAGGCATTGCCTTCTTCGACAAGACGGGCTGTGTTGGCGAGGCCACGTCGGCGGACGTCTAGGACTCGCGACTTCTATGTAGAGAACCGGAACCCCCTCGATTCAATATGTTTGGGAAGCCCAGGCGGCACCTACCTCAGGCACCTCGTCAGGATTTCATGCTGGAATGATAAGTCCATGACTTTACGTACGACTCAGACAACGTGCCAGTCGCGAACCGAACGGTTCGAGTGTTGCTGACACTTGACGGATGATATACAAGAGTTTCCCAGAGACGGGTCTCGTGGCCAGCAGATCATGATAGCGGCTCGTTGGATGATGGCCCGTTCATATCTGGGGAATGATGGCGATAGAAAATCTGCGGTGGTGATGGTCCAACGTTTCGAGGCGACGCCCAATCGAGGAAGACATCGTATGCTGCCTTGGACGGGGTCAGACGAAATCGCAAGGGCCGGATTTACTCGGATGCCATACAAGATCATGCGAGACACGACAATTACTGGCTTTTATGGACACATGTTTTCCCCCAGACGCTATCGATTTCAACTGTCTTGGGTGCCGCGCCCAAGGCAGTCCAACTTGTTTGATCAAGTTCTCAGGAGATGACGAATTGCGCTTCAACGCATTGACTTTGCAAGGTACACTCATCAGAAACGCTGTCAGCGAGGCACTTCGTGAGATGGGTTGCCATGTTGCTTTGTACTGTGCGGAGAGCGAGTGGCAGAAAATGGGAAGATCACTATAAGCTTCACAGTGCAGCTCGTGGTCAGGTGGTCAGCAAAGAAACATCTTCGTTCAACTCCATCCACATCACTGGCCACTATTGACATTTGGCAGCCGTTTCAAAATTCCAGGAGGCCGTTGTTTCGTGTCATGACCCCTACTTCGTCTGAGGTTCGAGACACGACATCGTCCCGCCAAGTGGAGCCGTTGCGACATCAAAGCAGGAGGTCTGAGATGCGAGCTCTCGCTGAAGCTACGAAGCTCTGTCTTACCTCAATCTGACCAGACTTCCCGCTGACCCAAGTTTCGATCCGACCAAGTACAGACGAGGCACAGATACTGCAACCGGAGCCGACCATGGACTCTCAACCGCTGACTTACCAGGACCTCTCACCCAGAGACGAGCACGACGAGTCGTCGTCCGCGACTGAAGTCGAGTCGGTGTTGCTGAATGAGAAGGACCGCGAATGGCATGATGTGTTCCTCGACCCGCCTACCAGCCCACGAACTGCATCATCTCTGCCGGCACGGTGGCGGAGACACCACTGGATCATCAATACCGTGTTGATCTTGTTTAATGTCGTCATGTCCATGGTGTTACTGTGGAAAGTCGCAGGCGCACCGTCAACATCATTACGACAGGTCGGTGGGGACCTCATCGCTGACCGTCCACCGATTTGTTCGCTGCTCCAAATCCTCTGTATTGCTTCGCATAACTGACACTAATCTGAACAGTCGCCACGAAGGTGATCAAATGGGAGTCTGATCCCTCATTTGTTCCCAATAACTCCGTCGAGTTCTTTGAACAGCAAACAGTCGACAAATGGCAATCCCTCCTGCCAGGTACGTGGAACCTCATCAAATATTTGCTGCTAGGCGAACTCGCTCATGATCAAACAGTGAACGCACATCGCGGCGATGGCGAGACGTTTTCAACGACGTCCATGACGCATCAGCTTCACTGTCTGGTCAGTTCATGGCGTCGCGCAGTAGCCTACACACAACACTGATACATCGTGTAGTTTATGATGGGTCGTGTCTACGCCGGCGTGACGCAGAGCAGGACCGCGGAGCTGCCGGCAGACTATCATGCTCACTTTCTTCACTGCATAGACTACATAAGACAGGGCATCATGTGTTCCGGGGATGTCGCTTTGGAGCCACACACTCCAGAAGACGCAGATGATTTGGGGGCAAAGGATGGAGGGTGGAATGGACTTCATGGTGAGTGACCGGCATGCCGAAGATGAATCTGACTACTGACGACTTCAAGTCTGCAAGGACTACGGACAAGTTTTGGAGTACCTGGATGGTAAGCACTGCACAGCTCGCCATACACAACAACGCTGACATGGCACAGAGCAAATACAACAAGGTGGACGAACGGTACTGCCCATTGATGATTGACGACATATAGAAGTAGCGTGCTCATTGACAGAATCAAGAGCAAAGTCCAGTTCTGACCATCGTTTCTGTGGCTGTGTACACGGAACCCCAGGCTTACCGGTATGTGATCTGCAGCACGCCAGTTAATGTTGTCCAAGCCTCCTCAACTTCCACAGGAACATCCACATGTCCGATGAATCCCTTTCCCCTAGGTCCATAACCGTTCTCATCATCCCTCAACCTCGGAATTTCTCCAACCAGTAGATCCAGAAATCGTCGCACGTCCCACAATCCCGCCTTCCGCACACCCGTCGGACCAGTGTCATCAAACTCAAAATGCGCAATACCATCATCGACACAGTCAGACGGCTCGACTGATGCATGTCTGAGCGTGACAACCGGTACAAAAGTCGGCCATGTCACAACGACAGGCCCCGTCCTGATTCCCTCGTACGCCTTTTCAAAACATGCCGCAGTACGCCTGCTCATCGTGGCATCCTGCACCACGACAATGGACCGCGGAGACGTCAATCCCCTCGCATCCAATACCTGTTTGGTCTCGAGCGCATTTGCGCCGCAGTTCGTTGACTTGTCCTCGACTATGATTGTCGGTGCAAAGGCCTCCGGCGGCACGGCCAAGTCACAATCGTCACGCGTCTTCACCGTCAGCCCAAACCAGCGCTCTGCAATCATCTGGAGGACGCGCGCCTCGGGTGGCTGGGCGTCAAGTGCATCGGCCAAAACGCGATAGCGAGGATGTCGTCGTACAGCAGCGTACATGAGAGACGTCGAGTGGCCAATGCCGCCGCATATGACAAGGATGAGATTTCTGATGTCCAGGAATTTTGAGGTTAGCTTTCGCAGGCGCCGCCTCTGCGAACTCTTCTTGCACGACCTACCGTTGCCTCAGAACCGGATCAGCTCCCGATAGGGCCGAGAAGACATCTTCGCCTAGGGACAGGATGGCTGAGCCGCACAGGACGACGACGTCGAACTGGGGGTTGGTCTGCGCAGACGAAATGGGGCTTGTGGGGAGGGAGTCGAAGAAACGATTGACAGCGGCTGCGTCGCGGAGCTGCTCGTGGGCGAGGAACGAGGAGAGAGTGTTGATGGCGCGGAGGGTCGGCAGACTCATTTCGAGATCTATGGTCATGCTCCAGTACACGTCTGAGCACGAAGAGTTGAATACTGCAGTATGCGTGATGGGGGTTGACAGTAGAGATCCGTTGATGGGCCTGGATCGGGAATCGGCTCCGGTTTCTCGCCGATCAACATGTTCAGCGCCAATACAGCGCCTGTACATTTGAAAGTCGGCTCGGGCCGAACATGTGCTGCGACTCTCATACCCCTCACCCACACCTTCAAAACATTCTCATGGGCGACGCTGCCGATTGCGCCTCGCACCAGCGGCTCGACGCTTGGGTCGACGCTCACTTTGATGAAGAAATCAGCTTCCTCCAGAGCCTGGTCCGTCTGCCCACGGACACACCCAAAGGCAACAATGCGCCCCACGCAGAGTTGACGGCCGACCTGCTGCGCACCTTCGGCCTCGAAGCCGAGCGGCATCCCGTGCCGGAGGCAGAGGTTCGCGCCTACGGCATGGAGTCCATCACCAATCTCATCGTGCGCCGCCGCTACGGCCCCGGCGGCCGAACGATCGCCCTCAACGCTCACGGCGATGTCGTTCCTCCCGGCGAGGGCTGGACCCGCGACCCGTACGCTGCGGTCGTGGAAGATGGAGTCATGTACGGCCGTGCCACCGCCGTCAGCAAAAGCGACTTTGCGAGCTTCACGTTTGCGGTACGCGCCCTCGAATCGCTGGGCGCCACGCTGAAGGGCGCCATCGAGCTGCATTTCACCTACGACGAGGAGTTTGGCGGCGAGCTGGGTCCCGGCTGGCTGCTGCGCCAGGGCCTGACCAAACCCGACCTGCTCATCGCCGCGGGCTTCTCGTACCAAGTCGTCACTGCCCACAACGGCTGTTTGCAGATGGAGGTCACGGTCCACGGCAAACAGGCCCATGCCGCCATCCCGGACACGGGCGTCGACGCGCTGCAGGGGGCCGTGGCGGTCCTCAACGCGCTCTACGCGCTGAATGCGCAGTACCGCGAGATACGATCGCAGGTCGAAGGCATCACGCACCCATATCTCAACGTGGGGCGTATCGAGGGCGGTACGAACACAAATGTCGTACCCGGCAAGGTGACCTTCAAGCTCGATCGGCGCATGATCCCCGAGGAAAATCCTGTCGAGGTCGAGGCTGAGATTCGTCGGACCATTGAGGGAGCGGCAGCCAGTGTGGCCGGCGTAACCGTAGATCTGCGCCGACTCCTCCTCGCCAAATCGATGCGCCCGCTCCCAGGGACCAAACCGTTGGTGGAAGCTATCCAGACGCACACTGAGCGTGTTTTTGGGGAGGCAGCGCCGGCGATTGGGACACCACTTTACACCGACGTGCGACTCTATGCGGAGGCGGGCATTCCTGGTGTCATTTACGGCGCCGGCCCGCGGACGGTACTCGAATCGCATGCCAAGCGAGCGGACGAGCGGCTGCAGCTCGAGGACCTGAGGCGTGCAACCAAGGTCATCGCGCGAAGTTTGCTTGATCTGTTGGTTTAGTTGCATGCATAGAAGGCTAGAAAAGATTTTTACTGATTGAGTTGCTTACACTTGCTGAGTAGAGGGCACACAGCTGCCTTTTCACGCTTCGTAGTAATTCACATGTCACGTCCTGAAAACTTGTGCAAGAGGCCCACGAGGTCGATTCATTCAGCCCTCTAATTTGAAGGATATGGATCCAAGAAAGCATGCATTCAGACGCTGCCTCTAACTACTGATGCTTCAGCCATAATAGCGCGCCCCGGTGGAATCTCTCGCGTCGCCATGGTATGCATGATCAGGCTTGTGGTGCAGACCGCAGCGACTGTCATCTTGCTCCATCATGATGTCAGCTCACGCATCCTTGGTTCCGTACATGTAGTGATCCTGCAACCCTGGAATCCTACCACCAAGACGCGGCATCCTCTAAATGGCCCGGCCTGACGGTTGCCTAATCAATCATGCAGGACGAATGCGCTAGCTTCAACGCCATTAAATACATATATCCATCGTGACCCTCTCGCCACGCGCGAGTCCATAGGGGACGAGCTATTCTTCCACTGGGCGGCTTCACAACACTGAGTGGCCAACACGCAATGCCGGTGACAACGCGCGCACAGGAGTCAAGAGCTCGCGCCGAGACTTGTCCTATACTACAGCTCAGCACCGAGATCCACCTCCTCATCCTCCATCATCTTCTGCCCTCGATCGAGTCAGTCCACGCCGTCTCCAAGACGTGCAAAAAGCTCTACGATGTCGCGCTCAACCTCACAGTGCACACGTTTCGTTATCTCGGCGGAGAAAGCCGCCTCGAAGATAATCTTGACCGCTTCACCGCCAGGACCATGCAGTTCGTTCGCTATGTGACCATCGCCAAGCCGCACCTAGCCCAACACGTCAAGTGCGTGGTTCTTGGCCAGCTCAATTCCGAAGGCTGGGGCCAGCTGAGCAAGTCTAGGGCGCCGAGGGGCGAGGAACTGGCTCTCTACGAAGGCTTGATTGAGCATACGTTCACCGAAGCAGACAGCGAAGACTGGAAGCTCTGGCGGTCCCAGTGGCTGGCAGGGCTGGCGAAGCTGTCTGAAGATGCGGAAGTCGCCCTGCTCCTTGTCGCGTGCCCCAACATCGAAGTTCTCCTGATGGAAGAATCGATCGAACCGGAGATGCTCAAGCGCGTCATCAACGTGGCAGGGCAAAGGGGCGCAAAGAGCTCGAGCCCGGGCAGCTCGACCGAAGTAGACACTCCGCTACGCCACTTGAAGGAGCTGTATATGGAATCGGGCGAGTTCAAGTATGGCCACTGTTCGTTTTCGGACTTTGCCCATGCGTTTCACATTCCAAGCCTGCGATCCTTCGAGGTTGTCCGAGCCAACGGCGAAGACTTTCGTGCCGAAGATTTCGAAGCCTTACCCAAGCGGTCCTCGAACGTAGAGGAGATCATCCTGCGGGCGTCCTGCATTACGCCAAAGGTACTCAAAGCCATGACCGCCGTACCGAGGGCCCTAGTGTCGTTTGAGTACACGAGAGGGGTTTACCACATGTACGACGAGGAGATGAAGCCGCGAGACCTCGTCGAGGCCGTGGTCCGCCATGCCGCTTCGCTTGAGAATCTGCACATCAACTCGGAAGATGACTGGCCCACCGGAGGAAGTCCAGAGACTTTCGTCATGGGCCTTGGCCTGAGGAGGCTGTCAGCATTGAAGCAGCTGGCCGCCGGTATGCAGGCCTTGACGGGAACACGCAACCCTTATCCTCCTCAGAATGAGAACATGAACTACGATAATCTCCCCGAGGTCGTCGAAGATTCGCCGAGGATGGTCGAATGTCTGCCGGAGAATCTTGAGTTCTTGCAGATTCAAGCCTGTGGGAAGCCTGTCCTGCCCCACGCCCAGGAACTCTTGGACGCGCGCGCCGCTGGCCGGTTTCCACGACTTCGACACCTGCGGCTCTTGTTTAATAAGGAGCTTATCTCATCCGACGACATTGATCTGCACTATGATGAAGGCCTTCTTCGAGTAGAGGTCTTTCTTCAGTCAGACGAAAATAGACTCTACGACCTCATCCAGATCGTGGGTCGAAAATGCTTAACAGCCTGCACGCGCATTTACTCCTACGACATTCGGGACAGATGGCTAAAGTACAGGTACCAGGATGTTGCGCGTGCAAGGGTCAATGAAGGGGTTTTATACGAGCCAGGCCCAGGGGGGATGACGGAAGAGAAGTCCAAGCTGCCGTGAGACGGCGTGCGTATTCATGTCTAGATCGGGTGTCATTATAGGCTTTTCAACCAAGTTCAAATTGACATTCTCCTATTGTGACATGTAAGCTATGCCGTCGTACTCAAAGGTGCCATGGCCAACGTTGGGTCGTGATCGTGCAGCACATTCCACATACTAACCGATGCGGGCTGAGGGCCATGTTGGTTCAAGGGACGCGTGTAGTTCGAAGCTTGGCTAGAAGACGACATCTGTGCTGAAGTAAAACCATATAATCACAAAGTTTGTAGAGGGTCCGAATATTTCTGGACGACGACAAACCTCAACATGACTCAAGTCAAGTCCATTCCAATCGCGATTGCGAAGCTAGATACACGTGGGTAGTATAGCTTGCCCCCTCCCTGAGAAGTCAAGGTAAAAAAAACCACAATCCATCAAGATGGTTCGACTATCAGCCAAGGATCCCATATCTCATGCGAGGGACAGACTTGACGTCAATACACCGAGGTATCACCTCGTGGCGACGTCTGGCGCACGGAGCAAAAGCAAAGCCCAAAGCCTAGCACGTTTGCACAGGCAGGCAAACTGCGCAAACCGCGAA